TCGGCGGTTCTAGTATGCATCATAAGTAGTAACATATCTACTACATATCTACTACACACTGGGGACCGGCGGATTCTGCTCGAAAAGGTGGCAGATTCTGCTCGAAAAGCAGTGAAATTGGCAGAACCATACAAACCTTATGGCGGGCAATTCCTCGAATTCTGCTCCATTTTTTTTATCCACATACCAAACATGCATGAAACTTACCAGAAAAAGTACCGAATTCTGCCAATTTTTCTGCTGGCAGAATCCGCCGGACCGGACCCTACTACATACGCATCTCGGTGATTCTATAACTATGCATCATAAGACATACAAGGAGGAAAACTTCCTTCTGCCAGCGGAGAGAGCTCAACACGATAATAATGTGGAGCACTATTACACACAACAGGCACAACGTATACATGTAGCCTGATGATTGCATTGCGCAAGAACCTCTGAGTTGCGACAAACCTGTAAACCTCCGTTGTGCCATTTGTGTATCATAAGACATAAGTACAATGCACTTCTGAAGTATTAATACTACATCTACATTTTGTCTCCAGCTACTAGGGGTAAGCGGATTATGCTCGGAAAATGACCAGATTATGCTCTAGCGGATGCTCGCAGGATGCTCGAGAAATCAGCAAATTATGGAAATTATGCTTTCATATTCTTCCCCAAAAAGACCAAATGAACAGATAACAGTCATGAGAAAGGACTCAGACCCTCGTTATGATGTGGACTAGGAGCTTTGTGGAAGTGCAAGAAAATAATATGCAAGAGAAATACCAAATTCACAAGCAAACCCTGAACTTTTGGGAGATGTCCTGTAGTGGCTACTAAAATACTATTCTAAATCAACAAGAAGCGCTACATGTATGTATGGTCCTCCAATTGCAGGTGTGTATAATTATAACAGCCTCATTGGGCATCTGCCCTTGTTTTTCGGATGCCATGTTATGCTCCTTCTAAAAAAGGACCTGAATATGCCAAAATTATCCCGGTATAATCCGCTTACCCCTACCAGCTGCCAGTGTTGTTGTGGTGGTGATGGTCGTCGTCGTCGTCGTCGTTGTTGTGGTTGTCACACCTTTTCTTTCAAAATAATTAATCGCCATCACCAACAGGCTGGCAGGCGTGTATTTACCGCCATATTGCCAGGTGTGTCTTTACCACCAACAGGCTGGCAGGCGTGTATTTACCGCCATATTGCCAGGTGTGTCTTTACCACCAACAAGCTGTTATAAGTACAATGTATGCCAACTCATACTACCGTACACATGTGTGCGGTTAGTGACATCGAAGAACATGTTTTGGCTGAATTAAAGAGGTGGCCGCAGATCCCCACAATGCACAGACAGATCGCCACGATTTTTAATATTAGTACTCTTGGTAATACTAATAATGGTTACAAATAATTCACCCAGTTCAATGAAAGCGCTCCCAGGCGTCGTGCTGTGAAGCAGCTCATCACTACTTGTATGGGAATACAATCATTTTGTACACAATCTAACAGCAACGGTAGGGTCGGAAGGGCTCTGATGTGGATCATAAGCGGTAAGGCAATGTTAGAATCTCTCAGCCAACAGGCAGAAAGCGAGTCTTGTCAGCGACTCGACTCAAAGATGCCTTCAATGAACGCTATTTTCAAATCGAAAAGCAGTCGCCTGCATAACTTCAACTGGATGTATTCACTACAGAAGAAAACTCAGCATCCTTCCGTACAAAAATACTAGTAACTACGACACGAGCACTGCCGCTTATTTCTTTCCATTAGACGCTCCAGCAAGCCGGCAAGCACTCAAGCGCTGTGCCATCCTTATGTATCTTGTCTGCACCGGGTAGAGCCGTCGAAGGCAGTCGATCACGCGGGCGAACATGTTGCTGCGCTCTTGGAATCTCGAACGCCAGGTGAATTCGGCCAGGAAATCCTCGTTAAATCTCGAACGCCAGGTGAATTCGGCCAGGAAATCCTCGGTAATGTGCAAGTACTCGTCTCGCTCCTCGGCGCTGTGCTGGCTGCGCACGAACTGGTCAATGCGCTTGCAGAGTTTGCGAATGTTCCTGGCGTGGACTTTGTCTTCTCTGTTGTGTTCCGGATCTGGGACTCGCAGTCGGTACGTTCCTTCCGGGAAGTATGCCGCGTCGTCGAAGTGTCTTGATATCACATCGGTTTTCTGTCTGATACTGGCATGTATGATCTTCGAAACTGTGTTGGGCAGGAGATCGGCTATAGTCGTAGCGAAGCATCGATTGGTGCTGCGCTCCACGGCCACGAAGGCACGCATGTCGCTTCTTGCGTTGAGATCGCATATTGCCACATCGACTTTCCGCCACCTCTCATCTTGGTCACTCCGGCAACCGCCGAGTTTCAGAGGGAAGGTAGCATTCCACTCCCGGCAGAGTCGTCGTAGAGTCGCATACGCACTTGCCACGCTCTCACAAGTCATACCCAGCTGCTCGCTGAGGAGCCTGGAGGGAGTTTCGACTGACCACTGATGAAGGATGAGAACCAGGCAGCGGAGGCTGAGCGGCAGGCGGAAGTACGGGCCGGTCCGCAGAGAAAGTCTCGTCTGCCGGCAAGCGCACTGCCACATCAGGCCATCCCGTTTCCTAGGAGCATCCACGAGCGTACACTCTTTGCAACACCAATGACACACGACACCATTTAGGACCAGTCCTCGAGCGGCCAAGAACCGGACGACCGATTCGACAGTGTCCCCCAGCACTTCTCCAAGGGTGTCCTTCGTCCATTGCTGCGAGAAGAGCTCCGTGTCCTTTATCAATTCCTTCGTGTCCACAAAACTACCTCGAGAAACAAATGACGTCATTCCTGCAGATATCGCTTCCAGTCACAACCTTCTTTCAAGTTCTGTTATAGACGAGCTTCTGGGACTAAATCAATTACAAGGGACCGGGGAGGAGACAGTCGAACGTTGTAATAATTATTATCGTTGCAAAGCATTGATTGCAGAATGCAAGAAATGATCCTGGTCAGATGATCGACGGTGCTTGTATACGGGCACACACGCCAGCGAGGAATCGGTCACGGAACTCTCGTGTCTGGTTGGAGTTTGAGCACTGTTAAATTTATCACCACGGGTGACGCCGCTGCTGAAATGCGCCTGAACATTCCGAGTGAAGTTACTACAGTGGAATGTGGGTAGTGGGACTGTGCCAACACTGCCAAGTAACGTCTGGGTACAAGCCTTTGGTGATTGAGTTCGACAAACATCAGGTATAGTGTAGATCGGAGATAACGACCTGGCATACCACGAGAGATTGACTTTAGCGACACAATTCTGTTGCCCAAGTCGTTTAGGAAGTCCTTTGTGAAGATCGGGTTTAGTGACAGATCGAATATAGTGACATTTTGTTCTCTCCCGAAGGAGTGTTATGTCGTCATATCCAATCTCCACTGTATACAGTATAGTGTAGACAGCAGGATCTAGAGCTACATGTACATGATGTACATGTACAGTTACCTAGTAGAAGGCGAGGCTGGGACATTAATTACTTGTAAGTTTTGTGATGTAACTCACCCTTCACGCCCTAGCCTAGGCGCTCACAAAGACTTGCACGACACTTGAAGTACACGTGAGTTACTGTAGTTTATACAGCACAAGTAAATCCAAAAGAAACGGCCTCTGCCTCTGCTCTGTCATGCATGTATACCACCCTATACCCCACCCGGTGCATTGAGCATTGTTTGTGGAGCCAGGGTGAAAAGGTTAGACCTGGTTTTGTTAATCCTATCATTACAGGGTGCGACAGAGCTCTCGACCATTGAAGAAAATGTTGAGAATCACCTCCAACACTACACTGCGCTCTCAGCCCTCCTGCACACAATCATCACCACTAAAGGTTATCAATATCGTCTACGGAAGTGTCCTCGCAGTGGTGATGGTTGTGTGCAGGAGGGTCTAGTGGGCTGAGAGCGCAGTGTACTGGTGCACTGGAGGTGATGCTCGACATGTTTTGTTAATCCTCTTAAAGCAAAGGCAAGGAGAAGAACAACATCAACACCACTAACAACAACATCTGTCTGTGATTCTGCATTACAAATACGGAGGTTCAGGTACATGTACCAGGTACATGTATATTGGTTCATTGCATGGCGTGACCATCCGCTACGCTAGAGTGACGCAGGTATCATGACTGGTGCCGCACAGAAAGAGCGAGAGAGAGAGAGAGAGAGAGAGAGAGAGAGAGAGAGAGAGAGAGAGAGAGAGAGAGAAGAGAGAGAGAGAGAGAGAGAGAGAGAGAGAGAGAGAAGAGAGAGAGAGAGAGAGAGAGAGGAAGAGAGAGAGAGAGAGAGAGAGAGAGAGAGAGAGAGAGAGAGAGAGAGAGAGAGAGAGAGAGAGAGAGAGAGAGAGAGAGAGAGAGAGAGAGGAAGAGAGAGAGAGAGAGAGAGAGAGAGAGAGAGAGAGAGAGAGAGAGAGAGAGAGAGAGAGAGAGAGAGAGAGAGAGAGAGGGAGGGAGGGAGGGAGGGAGGGAGGGAAGAGAGAGAGAGAGAGAGAGAGAGAGAGAGAGAGAGAGAGAGAGAGAGAGGAGAGAGGAGAGAGAGAGAGGGAGAGAGAGAGAGAGAGAGAGAGAGAGAGAAGAGAGAGAGTGAGATAGGGGGGGGGGGATATAGAGGGAGGGAGG